ACACAGAGGGCGGCGGATCGAAGACGCCTACGGCGAATCACCGCCGCCCCCTGCCTTTTTTGGAAGCGCCTATGTGATCGAAGGTTGTGGCCAGGGCATCTTGAAGGTCCTCTTGGCCTTTCGGGCCTTCTTGGAGGACGTCTTGGAGGGTTCTTGGGCCGTCTTGGAGGCTATCTTGAGCGTCTTGGAGGCCTCTTGGGCCGTCTTGGGGGCCTCTTAGGGCCGTCTTGGGCCTCTTGGGCGATCTTTGGGGGCCGTCTTGGGGCCCTCTTGGGCTCTTGGGCGATCTTGGGGGCCTCTTGGGCCGTCTTGAGCCGTCGGAACGCCGAGAACAAGCAAATTCCAACATCTTTCAAAAACCTAAGGATAACCAATGATTTTGGCCTCTTCGGGCCCTCCTGGAGGACCTCTTGGAGGCCTCTTGGGCCGTCTTGGAGGTCTCTGGGGGGCCGCTTGGGCCGTCTTGAACTCTCTTGGGCCGTCTTGGAGGCCGTCTTGGACCATCTTGGGTGGACTTGGAGGCCATCTTGGGCCATCTTCGCGATTTGTTGAGGATGTCCCGAGCGAAACGGCCGTTTTTGGAGCAGGAAGCCCTTTGCAACCACCTCTGGAAGATCCTTCCGGGTGGCCGGCGGGACGGGCCGAAGCCCCAGGGGGAGGTCTTTTGGAAAAAGAGCCAAAACCAAAATTGAGAGGGTTCAGCACGCCAGGCACCCTCGCGATGAACCGACAGGGGGTGGCGGATCCTAGTGGCCTTCGGCCCGTCCTGTCCCCGTGCCTGGGTTGTGGGCCTTCTTGGACCGTCTTGGGTGCTTTTTGGGGCCCTCTTGGCCCTTCTTGGGGCCTTCATGGGTCCGAAGCAAGACGCGGGGGAATCGGGGGGGAATCGCGGGCCGCCCCATGAGATTTGGTCCGAAAGGCTCCGAAACCCCTAAGAACTCCTCGGAAGTGAGGATTGAGGCTTAGAGGGGTAGTGGGAGGACCTGAGGGCACGCATGCTCCGTCCCCAGCGGCACGGTGTTGGACTCATAGCATTATGAAGACAAGCGATCTCGAGGGCGCCAACTATACCCATCGGTCGTTGGAAGTAATTAATTGGGGATTGCCAGGGTCCAATCTATTTTAGGCGCCTTCCTTCTTCAATGATCGAGTGGCTTCACCTTTTCCGTCCTCCTTCGGGGGCGGTCGGACACCCAATCTATTGTAAACGCCTTCCTATTTCATGTGTTTACCTACTTCTTCCGACCGATGGTACACCCACGCCGATCTTGGCCAGGTCGGACCTGGGCCAAGGATTGTTGTGTACGCCGTCCTGGCCAAGCCAGGAGGGTGCGTGGACTGACCTTGGGCCCAGGATGGGCCCGCCCAGACTTGGTGTATCGAGGGCAGGGTTGGACTCAAACGCTGTTTTGTACGATTTCGGCTGTGTTTTGTTTTTCGTTCTGGCAGGGAGGTACAGGAAAACAGGTAGAGCACAACGAAAAGCAACGCTAGCATAACACAAAAAACAACGTCTAGGTCCAGCGCTGCTCGAGGGGAGAAGCCGGCTTCCGGGTCAGACCCTGGAGGTGACCAGGGCCCACCTTTGTTCAAGACCCTGCTTTCGAGGAAGCACAGACGCGGAGTCGTCTGGCGCGTGAATCAGCGACGGCCCCCGGTCCCGTCAGAGTTTGACGCGCTCCGTCGCCCAAGCAGGCGGCGCTGGCTTCACGTTTCGCCCCGATCCGCCAGATCCACATGTCCGCAACCCGTGTTGGAGCGTGTCCGACCTGTGTTCACATGGCAAGCCGCGCTCGTCGCGGCTGGCTCGGTGACATCCACCCGCTCGGCCACCCGCAAGCTGCGCGCAGGCCAGGAGGTGGAGGAGGCGGAGGAGGAGAAAGAGGGGAGGGGGGGGGGAAAAGGAGGAAGAGGAGGAGGACGCCGATAACGGACGACTTACCACTAACGGGAGGAAGGAGGCGGGAGGCGGGAGGCGGAAACAGGGGGAGGGAGGAGGGAGGAGGGAGGAGGGAGGAGGATGGGGAGGAGCAGGAGGAGGAGGAGGAGGAGGGGGAACAGCACGAAAAGCAGGATGAGGAGGGAGGAGGGAGGAGGATGACGAGAACGAGGATGAGAGGACGAGGATGAGGACGAGGATGAGGACGAGGATGAAGATGATGAAGATGATGAAGATGATGAAGATGATGATGATGATGATGATGATGATGATGCTGATGATGATGATGATGATGATGATGATGATGATACTGATGATACTGATGTTGCTGATGATGCTGCTGCTGATGATGATGGCGATGATGGTGATGATGCTGATGATGATGGTGCTGGTGGTGATGATGGATGCTAATGATGATGCTGATGTTGATGCTGATGCTGATGATGATGGTGGTGGTGTTGAGGATGATGCTGATGCGGAGGAGGAGGAGGAACAGCAAGGTGATGATGGTGATGATGACGGATGAGGAGGAGGATGAGGAGGAGGATGAGGTGGATAATAGGATGATGGTGATGATGATGTTGATGCTGATGATGGTGATGCTGATGCTTCTGCTGATGATGCTGATGATGATGATGATGGTGCTGATGCTGAGGAGGCGGATGAGGATGAGGATGAGGATGATGATGATGATGATGCTGATGTTGATGCTGATGCTGACGACGATGATGATGCTGATGGTGCTGATGATGATGCTGATGATGTTGATGATGATGACGACTGTTTTTGTTGATGATGAGGAGGAGGATGATGATGCTGATGATGAAAGTGCTGCTGATCATGATGATGCTGATGATGATGCTGATGCTGATGATGATGATCGAACGAACACACCGAAATCTAGGATCATCTTCCCCCTGTGGAGGCAACCCCCTGTGCTTGTGTTGGTGCCCATTTCCAGGCCTTCAACTCCCCGCCCCCCCCCCCGAAGCTGCGCACCAAAGTCGGCGGCGAGCCCGAGGGGGGGGAGTGTGGAGGGGTGGGCTTTCTCAGAATGCTCGGGAAGGCCTCGGGCCTTCTTGAGAGGTTGTCTGAGCCTTCCCCGAACACACAGAACACTTCTCAGAAGGCCTGGGGGCTTCTGAGAAGCCCCGCCGCCTTCTGAGAAGGCCTACTCATTTTCACGTCCCCCCGTGCGCAACTCCTACACAGGTTATTCTTGCCTAGGGCCGTTCTTGCGTATGCAGTCGGAGCGCATGGCAAGAACGACCCCATGTTCTGTCAGGGTGCCCTGGGTTTCTTTGGCTTGCGTTCGGCATGGAAGGTTGTAGTAATCTCGAAGAAATTGCAAATGGCAGGGCCCCCTGGGTTTCTTGTGCGTCGGTGCGTTGGGTTTCTTCATGCCAGCTTGCTCTACGCAAGCGGTCAGGACGCCGCTCGGATCAGGATGCCCTGGGTCTCTTCGCTTGCAGACGAGGTGTACGAAACCCAACCCTGGACCAAGAAACCTCGGCGGATTTCAGGGCTGGTTTTCCTGAGGCAGGTTTCCTCTGTATTGACTTCCATTGTGGCCGAAGCAATCAGATCCATGCCGCGCTCCGCGCGCCACATTTTTCCACCCGCGACCGCGTGCCCGTGCCCCCGTCTATCTTCCCCGCGCGCCCCGCTGCGGCGATCTGGGCGGGGCCGCGCACCGAGAGTCCCGCTCGGAAGCCCAGTCGCCCAGAGGTCCACCGCATTGCGAGAATCAAGGCGCAGGTTTTTCGCCGCGTTCGGCCTCCTAGATCAGTATCGTCTATCTGATCCCCATCCCCATCCCCATCCCCTTCGAGACCCCCGCCAAATTACCCCCCCAGTTGGGGATACAACCCTCGACACCCGAAGGGAGAGGCCTATATCCCCATCTAGGGGGGTAAATCGGCCAGCGGGGCCCAGGCCACGCCGCTGGGGATGGGGATCGGATCAACGATGCTCACTAGAGGCCCCAGGAGCGTCAAAAGACGAGGCGGGATGAAGAACCTTCGCCGTTTTCGGCCTCTCCGAGGCCCCAGGATTTTCAAAAGACGAGGCGGGATGAAGGACCGGTCCCAGGGAATGGGGTCGAGACTTCCGGGGACCCCGTACCGAAGAAATCGAGGCGTCGGATCTCCGGGCATGGGCGAAGAAGAAGCAACCACAATCGTTGGGCTGAGATAGCCGCCCTTGGCACCCCCCCAGGCCTGACCCCGACCCCTCGCGGCACTCGAAGTCGATCGCCGCGCGCAGGTCACCACCGCTGGGGGTCGGGGTCGGCATTGGGGGGGGCGCCCAGGGCGATTGCCTGAGCCCAGCGGCTGTGGTTGTCCCTTCCTCGCTCCTGCACCCACGACCAGGAGCATGCTCAGAGGCCCAAAAATAATTATCGCGGAGCCGAGGCTCTGGCCCCGCGCGTCTGCACGTCTTGCCTCGTCTGTCAGAGGCAGGAACCGAACTGAGCACGTGATACATCTACCCATCGGTCGTTTCCAGTAATTTGGTATTTTTGGATTCCCAGATTCCAATCTCCTTCAGGCGCCTTCCTACTCCAAGGATCGAGTAGTTTTACCTTTTCCGTCCTCTTTAGGGGGCGGGCGGATACCAAACCCTTCTTCAACCCCTTCGTACGTCCTGCTGCTGCCGACTTCTTCCGACCGACGGGCACGTCGGGAGGCACGGTGGGGGGGGGGGGTAGGCTCAGCGGGGCGCGCATCGACCCGCAATCAGCCCCTTTGAGCGATGTTGACCCCCCCCCCTGGAGGCGCTCCCCCCTCACAGTCCAGGTGCTGAAGGAAGGACTCGGGGCTGGACAGAACCCCCAACAGTGACACGTCGATTGGTGAATTGTCCGTTTTCGGTTCTCGAGAGGGCGCCGTGGCCGTTATTTTTCAGGTTTGCGCCCTCCAGATTTAGGTCTCAGGTCGTTTTCACTAAACCACGTTTTACTAAAGGGAGGTCTGTCCATCCCCGAAGGACCGCCCCCGGCTCAGGAGGGGCTCCAGCTTTCGAGCCGCTCATCAGCTCCAGGCCGGGGAGCCCACTCGTGGCCGGGGCTCGCCGGGGCCAGAAGAACGCAGCCGTTCTCGGTGTCAGCGCTCCCGATGGTAGCGCGACGGTTCCTTTGGAAGAATAGGCAAAGCCGTGGGCATGAACTGTGGGTTAAAACACACAGAGGCTATGGGTAAAGAACACACGCTGTGGGTAAAGAACACAAGGTGTGTGTGTGTTTTGTGTGTGTTGTGTTGTGTTGTGTTGTGTTGTGTTGTGTTGTGTTGTGTTGTGGTGTGGTGTGGTGTGGTGTGGTGTGGTGTGGTGTGGTGTGGTGTGGTGTGGTGTGGTGTGGTGTGGTGTGGTGTGGTGTGGTGTGGTGTGGTGTGGTGTGGTGTGGTGTGGTGTGTGTGTGGTGTGGTGTGGTGTGGTGTGGTGTGGTGTGGTGTGGTGTGGTGTGGTGTGGTGTGGTGTGGTGTGGTGTGGTGTGGTGTGGTGTGTGTGTGTGTGTTTTCTTGTGTTTTTACCAACAGACTCTGTGTTTTTTACCCACAGGCCCTCCGCGCGGAGTTCTTGGATCCGCGCTGGGCCCCCCTGGCGGCGCCTCCGGCGCCGCCCCTGGCGCCTTCTGGCTGCGCCAGGGGGGCCCAGCGCAGATCCAAGAATCCCGCGCGGATCGCCAAAAGTTTATGTCTGTGTGGTTGCTGTGCTGCGCCGCAGTGTGGTTGCTGTGCTGCGCCTTGCTGCTGCATGCTCTGTTGCCCCACGGCACTAGAGCGACCCCTCTTCTGTAGACACGCTGGCGGCGAGGTAGGTAACGGCGATGTAGGTTTCGGTACTGTGGGAACGCGTGGCTCGCGCTTTCCTGCGATTCACTGCGTCGCTTTCGTTCGACACATTCGCAGACGGGAGAAATAGGGGAAAGTGTGGTTCGTGATTCCCTACAATTCGGTTCCCAGCATCACCGTTAAGCAACATCGCCGTTAGCGTGGCCTTGGCTCTTCCTTTAGACCAATTCGGGAGGAAAACCAGCTAAAAATGGCACGCCGTTGGAAGCCCGTCGGCGCGTTTTTCTTCCGTTTTTTTTCCGAGGGCCTGGTGTTTCTATTCGGCCGTGACGCGCTGACGGGTTCCCCCTGGCGGCATGTCATTGATATCGTTGTTGATCCCCCGATAGTGCATGATTTGCGGAAAATTATCAACATTCAGGCAGATCGTTGCTGCTGGATGGGGCAAAGCTTCCCAAGCCCACGAGGGAGGGGGTGCTCGGGAGGTCCCTGGAGGCTCCAAAGATGGCTAGGCGTGCGCGCGCACCATCCCCGGGCCCGCGGAGCAGAGGCCCAATCGAGGGCTCAGCCTCTCTCGGGGCAGCTGAGGCAACATCTCGGCAGGCTGGGGGACTTCCGAGCCTTCAGAGAAGGCCCGCCCCTCCTCACGTCCCTCTCAGGCCCGCCGCCGGTTCTCGATCGGGCCGAGGGCGAGCACGCGCGAATCGGCAGCGGCGTCTGGGTCCCACGTTCTGGCCCGTCCGCCGCGGGGATCCGAGCTTCGAGCCCTCGCTCTTCCCTACCTCCCTGCTTCCCTCCTTCCCTCCTCCTCTCAGACACAGATCCAGCACGGCAGCTTCGTTACAAGTCATGCCATGGAGCTCATCTTGCATTGCAAGTGCTCCGTTCCGGTCCGTTCTTCCTCTCCTTTTGATCTCTCCCCCTCCTCACCGGAGGATGTCGAAGCTCGCCAACTGACTGTCGGACGCGACTCCCACCAGCGCTTGCGGGAACACTCGGTCGTCGCCGCTGCCGTCGCGATTCTTCGGCGGCATCGGCGTCGTCGTCGTCGTCGTCGTCGTCGCCATCGTCGTCCACCTCATGTGACGGTGTGCGGGAGGTTGCCCACACTCTATAATCCCTATAAAACCGCAAGCCTCGGTGCTGCTGGAGATCGTGCCATGGGTTGGAGACCGTGGGGTGGCTAGGGCCGGGGGTGTTCAGCCGCGGAAGTTGGTCCTCCACCTCCTCATCCAACGCCAACTCCTCCTCCCCATCTTCCTCCTCCTTCTCCTTCTCCTCCTCCTCCAACTCCTCCTCCACCTCCTCCTCCTCTTCTGATTCGCGATGCTGTTGTGACACCCGTGAGTTTTGCGCGAAGAAAGAAGTTTGTCTTTTCTTGGTCCATGGTATTGCCCGCAGATTCTGCGCCCCTCCGAAGCTGCACCACAGGATTCTGGGTATGCTGTCTGGATTCCTCCTGCTCCCTCCTCGCCTGCTCCGTCTCTTCCCCCTCCGTCTTCCCTCATCCCGTTTCTCTTCTGTTCTCTTCCCCGTGCTCCTCATCCATCCCCTCCGTCCTCTCCTCCTTCCTCCCCCCTTCCATTCCCCTCTTCTCCCCATTTCTCTTTGCTCCCATTCATCATCCCCCTCCTCTTCCTCCTCCGCCATGCGCCCCTCCTTCCGCTCCATCCTCCTTCCTGCCTACCCATCCTCCCTCCTCCCTCTCCTTCTCCCTTATTATCCCCCTCTCACCCCCTCGCTGTCCGTCGCTGGCGTCGTTTTGTCGTCCTCGCCGTCGCCGTTCGTCGTCGTCGTCGGTGGCGTTTTTCTCTTCCCAGACCGCGTGTCCCTCCGCGGGCGCGCGCGAGGCCAACCCAAAATCTCAGAATCCCACCCTTTCCCTCCTCCGTCGACCCCCTTGCACGTGCAGGGACCCAGCACAAAGAAACAGCACAGGAACGCCGTGACTCGTTTTTTTATTGCTGTGCCCCTCCTCGGTAATGCACTGATGTTTCTCTCTTTGTCCTTGCTGCCGTGTGCTGCGCTAGATTGTTACGAGCAGTTGCGCCCCGGGGCTTGCTACGCGAAACAGCGTCCGCTCTGGCTTGCACGGGTGCGCGGACAGCTCTGAAGCCGATGGTTGAGCAGTTCGGGTAAGGACGCCGTAGAATTGGTGTCGAATTGAAAGGGCGCGCAAGAGTCGGGGTCAGCTCTGCCGCGGGGCTGGCTCTCACGGACCCGAGCTCGCAAGGCCCTGGCGCCCCTTTTGACCTGCACCAGAGAGCCGCAGAGATATTATAGCCGTTATGTTTCCGCCGTCGTCTCGTTTCGCGCCGCGCTCATGCAGAAGAGAACTCCCCTGCTTTGGCACAGCGAGCGACCGCTGAAGGCTGCCTGCTGCTGGTACACGACAGCTCGCTAGACTGCCCCGATTGGTGTTGTGTTTTCACTTGATTGTTGTGTTGTATTGTGAACTTTGGCGGAAACATCGGGGGTGGACAGAACCCCCAACAGTGACACGTCGATTAGTGAATTGTCCGTTTTCGGTTCTCGAGATGGCGCCGTGGCCGTTATTTTCTAGGCTTGCGCCCGCCAGGTTTGGGCCCGAAGTCGTTTTCACTAAACCACGTTTTACTAAAGGGGGGTCTGTCCACCCCCGAAAACAGTGCTTGCCCACATCCTTGGTGCCAGTGCCGCCGTTCTGCCCTCTTACAATCTACCTCGTATAGCCAGTTTTACCGAGTGCCGTCCCATACTTGACCAGCCAGTGGTGGAATCAGGTGCGCAATCCAAGAATCCTTTACCCCCTCCTGGCTCCCCAGGCCGCGGCGTCAGCGTCTCCCGAGGAGTTGTCGATCTTCGACCCAGGAATGGTGCGGTGCATAGTCTACCGGCCCTCAGGATCCCAGAAACTGTGCACCGCACCACGCTGGAGCGGGGCCCGAACGGAGTCCAGGCATGGCACGGTGCATGGGCGCCGTTCTCGTACTCTTGGTTCCCCCTTTCACGTCGTCCACGGCGACGGCCATCACGACGATCGCAGAAGACGGCCACAACGACCACCCACGACCACGGCGACGACAGCTCCTGGGCGGCGAGCACGACCACGCCCGCCTCCGACCACGTCGACCACGACGGCGCCCACGACGTCCACGACGGCCCCGGCGGCGGCGGCGACGACCACGACGCCGGCGCCGTGGCCGTCGTGGTCGGCGCCGTCGTCGTGGCCGCCGTCGCCGTCGTGGCGCGGAGTCGCCGCTCGTCCCCGCGGTCGTCGTCGGCGGCGGCGTCGGCGGGCGCCCTGCGTCGGTGCGGCGGCGGCGGCCACGGCGCTGACGCCACCCCCGGGCGAGGCCCCTCCACGAGGAGGTCCTGCGCCTCCGCAGCGGCGCTCGGCGGGCCGAGGAGCGCGCCGCGCGGGCGCGGGCGCGCGGCGCCACCGCCGCGTTCGCCGAGGCGCCGGGGCGCCGCGGCCGCCGCCGAGGCGATGTCGACGACGGCCGCCCTCGCGATCTCCGACGACTGGGCGCTCTCGAGGGCGCGAACTTACCCTTCGGCCCCCAGATTCCATCTACTCTGGGCGCCCTTCTATTTCAAAGATCGAGGAATTTTGCCCTTTCCGTCCTCTTCAGCGGGGCGGGCGGACACCCGATCTGTTTTCAGCGCCTTCCTGCTTCATGTTTCTACTTACTTCTTCCGACCGATGGGTGCTCGCGCTTGCGGTCCGGCTCCGATTCCTCCTCATCCTTCTCTCCCCTGGGGGGCGGCGCGGGAGCTCGAAGACGTTCGCGCAGCGCGCAGCGCGAAGTTGGGCGCCCCTGTTCGCGGGCGGCTCCTGGAGGTTCCCCAGCCTCGGGATTATGTTCAGCGGCCGCGCCTCGTCGAGAGCCTCCCGGGGGGGCTGTAGCTCAAGTTTTTTGGGGGACGGGTTGGTGGGTGTGTGGGTTCGCGGGCGTTTTGTTCTCTATTGGGTGGGCGGGTGGCGGAAGCCACATAGCGAGCGTTACGTTTTCGAGTGAAGAAAAGCTTTAGCTGTTGGATCGTCCCGAGCGGCCGCTAGAGGGCCGAGCTGCGACCCGAAAGCCGTCGGGGACCCATAGTTTATATCGGAGGTGAGGGGGTGAGATCGAAGTGGAACGGAGAGCCCCCCTACCGGGAAATCGGTTTCGGTTTCGTGTTCGCGCGTGCCGCGCGTGCGGGCGAGGCGAAGCTGCGTGGGCGGGCGAGAAGAAAGTCTCCCCCGGCTGAGGCGCGGCCGGACCAAATGATTCCTTTTCTGGGAGCCGGTCGCCCGTGGTGCCCCGCCGGGGTGTCCCGCCTCCGGCTGAGGCGCGGCCGGGCCAAATGATTCATCTCCGGGGGCCGGTGGCCTGCGGTGTCCCGCCGGTGTCCCGCCGGTGTCCTGTCGGTGTCCCGATGATGATGATGATGATGATGATGATGACGATGACGATGACGATGACGATGACAATGACGATGACGATGATAATGATAATGATGATGTCGATGATGTCGATGATGATGGTGATGATGGTGGTGATGGTGATGGTGATGGTGTCCCAGTGATGGTGATGATGATGATGACGTTGAGGATGATGATGTTGATGGTGATGGTGGTGATGATGATGGTGTCCCGAAGAAGATGATGATGATGATGATGTTGCTGATGATGGTGGCGATGGTGCCCCGATGATGATCATGTTGGTGACGATGACGATGTTGATTATGATTAGATCATGATGAGATGATGGCGGTGATGGTGGAGATGATGATGATGGTGTCCCGATGATGATGATGATGATGATGAGGGTGATGCTGATGCTGTTGATGATGACGGTGATAATGCTGATGGTGTTCCGATGATGACGCGGATGATGATGGTGAGGATGAAGGTGTCTAGATGACAATGATGCTGATACGGATGATGATGAGATGCTGATGATGATGATTTTGATGATAGTGGCCCGATGATGGTTATGAGGATGCTGATGTTGATGATGCTGATGGTGTCCCGATGATGATGATGATGATGATGATGATGATGATGGTGCCGATGATGATGGTGCCCCGATTATGATGGTGTTGTTGATGCTGGTGGTATTGATGATGATGATGGTGCCCCGATGATGGTGATGATGTTGATGATAATGTTCATGATAACAATGATATGCTGATGATGGTGGTGTTTCGATGATGATGATGATGGTGGTGCCCCGATGATGATGAGGTTGATGATGATGATGGTGTACCGATGATGATGGTGGTGGTGATGATGATGCTGTTGATGATGGTGTTGATGATGTGATGATGATGAGGAGGAGGAAGAGGAAGAAACGTAGGAGGAGGAGGCGGAGGAGGAGGAGGAGGAGGATGAGGGGGAGGGGGGAGGGGGGAAGGGGGAAGGGGGGAGCGAGGAGAGGGACGAGGAGGAGGAGGAGGTTGATGATGATGTTGGTGACGTTGATGACGATGATGTTGCTGATGATGGTGATGATGATAATGATGGCGTTGATTGTGAGATCGATTGTGATATCGATGATGAGATCGATAGTGAGACCGAATGTGAGATCGATTGGGAGATTGGTAGTGCGATCGGTCGTGAGATCGATTGTGAGATCGGTCGTCAGATGGCTTGTGAGATCGATCGAATGACATAGATCGAGTGAAATAGATCGAGTCAGGTCGATTGTGGGGTAGATCGACTGAGATCGATCGAGTGAGGCCGATAGGGAGATCGATAGTGAGATCGGTAATGAGACCGATCAAGTGAGACGCTGGTCCCTCCCATCCCCCCCCCCCCCGAACCTCCTTATCACCCGAAGGGTGGCCGTAAAGGTGCGTGTAGATATACACATATCTATGTATATATACATACATACATACATACATACATATGCTGATCCCCCTTGTGATCATGCCATTTGCCTTGTCTTCGATGTGTTCCCTCGCGCTGGGTCTCAGTCCCTCTCTACCCTCAGGAGGGGGATGGCGAGGAGGAGGAAGACAGGAGGATAAGGAACAACTGTATACTATGAGTGAGAAGGAACAAAAGCTAGATAAATCGAGTGCGATCCCGACGATGAGGACGATGCTGATTGCGATGGCGATGATGATGAGCAGGAGGAAGCGGAGGAGGAATAACCCTTAATACGGAGTCCTGAATAGGAAGCCGTAGTACGTGATTTTGAATATGGGATTCCGAGTAAGGAATCTTTACCCAAAGAACCTTTTCATGAGGAATCTTCATTGGGGAACCCTGAGCATGGAATAGCTGCCAAGGAACCATTACTAAGGAACATGTACGAAGGAATCCAAAGTAACATATATTCACCGAGGAATCCTTGGCTTGGCCCCCTTAATTGAGAAACGCGCAAAGGAAATAATCTCACGTAAGGAACCCAGAGTAAAGAGTCCTGAATTAAAGAAATTTTCAAAAAGGAATCTTGATACATAAATCCGTCATAAAGAACGCTATGTAAGGTATCTGTCATAAGGAGTCGCCGACGCATCCCTCAGAAGGAATCCGACTTGCGGAACTATCAACCAGGAAGATTTGTCAAGGGATGCTTACAATTTTTTTGGGGGAAATATCAATGGGGAATATTGAATGAAGAACCCTTCATTCGGAAATCTTTATTGAGGCAGCCGAAGCTGGAATCTGACCTAAGGATTCTTGAGCGAGGAATCCATATTGGAAAATCTGTCGTGGGGAATCCTGAATGAAGAATCCTGAATGGGGAATTCCACATTACGGAATATGCGCTGAGGAACCCGCATTAGGATATATTTAGCACAGCGCCGATAAACAAGGAATATGGATCAATAAATTCGTTTTACAAGGAACCTTTAATACGAACTCCTTCATAAGGACTCGAACTTCAGGAATCGCGAATACGGAATCCTTAATCAGGAATCCGTTATACGGAATACTTCATGAAGAGTCCTTCAAAAGTGGAATCCAATTCTTAACCGGAACCTCGTAGGAATCGTTCTCCCAGAACCTGTCATGCGGAACTCTTGCGCAGGCGTCTCAATCACGGCGCCCTGAAGAAATATTGGGCTCGCCTTCGGCCAGCGCCGCCGATCCGGGGGGGGCTCCAGAGGTGGAGTTTTCTACGCCCCCTGTCCCCGCGCACCGAAAAACGTCAGAAATGACGTCGGACACATCCCCACGCGCCGAAAAACTCCGGACACGATGTCGGACATAACGCGCGCCCCCCCCCCCCCCCCCCCCGCAGAGCGAAGCTTGAGCGAGCTCAAGTCCACGCTCGCAGGAGCTCAAGCGCCGGATCGGCGGATTCCCTCACGGGGAATAGTGATTATGGAAAGCTGATTAAGGAAATTCTGACACAGAGTACAATATCTACTGGAAGAATATTTGTAAGGAGCTCGCTGTAAGAAGTCTGCGATAGGGAGTCGCCATGAAATCCTTCGTATGATATCTTGTAATGGGGAGCCACTGCTCAGGAATATGGTTCGAGGAATCCTTGCGCAAGAATGTGTATTCAAGAATCCTCATTCTGAATTTGCTGAGGAATCCTTCGTTCGGAATCTGAACGCAGGAATCCTCAGTGGCCAGGCGCCCTCGCCCTCGGTTCAAGGAAACGCTGTGCGCGTTTGGTTTATTTGCTTGTTTTGGTATGGGATGCAAGGGATCACTGCACGTGCTTTTCTTTTGGTTTTGCAGGCTCCATGAGAAGTGCCGCGAGAATGGCCGCGGCGGGCACCGGGGCCTGCAGAACGAAAAAGGTGAGAAACAAACCGAAACAAACCAACCAAACAAAAAAAACTTCGCGGCCCCACAATCCAGCAAACCACAGCGGCAACAACGCGCGAAACAGCGCTGCCTTGCGCCAGGGGCGCCATCTACTGCGCGCGTTTGTTTCGTTTGGTTGTCGCGGTTTGGGGCGCAAGGAAACGCTGCGCATTGTCCTGTTTTTCCCCGAGAGGTTTCGCAGGCCCAAAGAGACATGTCGCGAGAGAGGCAGCGGCGAGCGCTGGGGCTCGCGTTGCCAGACACATTCGTAGTGCTTCGTGTTTTCACAAACGAAGCACATGCAGGGGCCAGCGAGTGCGCGGCCCCCCGCGCAGGGCCTGCGACGCAGTGGCCCAGCGGGGCCCAGCGCGGGCGAGGGCGGAGGAGGCCCGAGACCGTCGGAGAGGGGGCCCCCCGCCGAGGTTCATCGGGGCCCAAGAAGCATCGGGCCTGCGTCGTCATCTCCGCGCGGTGACAGGCCGCGAGATACTGAACCTTCCCTAAGAGGCTAGCGCCGCCAGCGCGGCGCGGCGACCGATGGCGCGGCTGCAGGGGCGCAGCTGCTTCGCCCCCGTGGCATCGGGAAGGCGCCGACCTTCTCTGGCAAGCGGGGGGACTTCGAGGAGTGGATCTTCCGGTTCGAACGCAACCGCGGCTCGGCGGGCTGGGCGGCGGGCTTGGAGACGGCCCGGGGCGCGGC